TTCTCAGAAACAAAGCCCAAAGGTCAGAGCAGGGAAAATTCCTGTGTAATATATAACAAGAAGCAACTCAATGAGGTCCAGTGGACACTTATCTAATGGCAGAAAGCTTGGGTGGATACTACTTTGCCAAATCTCAATGCTGTATGCAAAAACTGGGGGCTTTGTTCATCAAAACATTTTTGGTAGACCATATATCCTTGGTGAAGAAGTAAGCACTAAAGCAGCTCTGCCCAAGAGAAATATAACATGAGCCACAAATGTGATACACATATGTAATTTTAAAATTTCTAATAGCTGCATTAAAAAAGTAAAGGAAATAGGTAAAATTAATTTTAATAACGCATTTAAAACCAGTGTAGTCAAAATACTATTTCAACAGTTATCAATGAGATATTTTCATTTATGTTTTCAGAATAGATCTTTGAAATCCATTGTATATTTTATGCTTACCACACATCTCAGTTTGGAGTAGCCACACTTCAAGTTCTCAACAGCCACAAGTGGTTAGTGGCTCCCATACTGGGTATTACAAGTTTAGAGTACCTATGACTTAGTGTGATGATTTAAAGATCTTAGGAGTAACAGTAACTAGAGAAGAAAAAGATGAGGTTTCAACTATAATGGATTAATTAGTTTTTCCACGAACAATTTGCTACAAAATTGTACTGTAACAATACAAAAATTGACACCAACTAGCTGGGTTTTTGCTTTAGTTTTTAAACATGTTAGTTTTAAAGCAGATTCTTCACAGTATAGAGGAAGTGTATTGTTGTAAATTGTCTCACTTATAACTCAAATATTTTGTAGGTATATGAATTATTGGGACATTAAAGTATGCTAAAATAAAACCTATTAAGCTTTAGTTAAACATCCCAAGCATGCAATGAAACATTTATTTACACCCTGTAACACTGGATAGTAAAACATAATATAGAAAGTCTGAAGTGAATATAAAATGTCAAAATTAATAGCACAATTTTATAATCAGCTTCCAATGCAATTATTAGTCTTTAGGGTAGAATTCATTCACATTAAAAATTGACATGCAAGGATTTTCTCCAGCATCAAATGAGGTCATTAATAAAATCTATAAATTAGGTCAAATAGAAGGTATAGAGGTCAGCTTGCACATTAATGAGCCATAAAACATTTAGATAAAAATTAAAGCTGTGCAGAAAATTAAACATTTTCCTGAAAGTTTTAAAAACAGCTTATGTACTCTAAAATCAATAAAATATTTCAAGCCTTAAGGCTGTAAAATACCGGATAATTCAGTAATAATTAGAGTGTGTGCTTCTTAGGGTAGATTTTAATTTGCATTCTGTGAGATTGTAAAACAAATAATTTTCATGAAATATAAATGACAAAAGTTATGCATTTAAAAAATTCTGATTATAAATATACAAACAGCTCATACAACTTAACAAGAAAAAAACACAACCCAATCCAGAAGACCTGGGCAGAAGATCTAAGGGCAGAAAGATCTAAACAAGAATTTCTCCAAGGAAGACATACAAATAGCCAATAGGCACATAAAAAAAGCTCAATATTGCTAATTATCAGCGAAATACAAATCAAAACTATAATGAGGTAACACCTCACACCAGTCAGAATGGTCATCATTCAGAAGTCCACAAGTGGTAAATGCTGGAGAGGGTGTGGAGAAAAGGGAACCCTCCTAAACTGTTGGTGGGAATGTAATTTGGTGCAGCCATTATGGGAAACAGTATGGAGATTCCTCAAATACTAAAAACAGACCTACTATATGTTCCAGTAATCCCACTCCTGGACATATATCCAGAGGGAACCTTAATTCAAAAAGACACATGTACTCCATTGTTCACAGCAGCACTATTTACAATAGCCAAGACACGGAAACAACCTAAATGTCCATTGACAGATGACTGAGTAAAGAAGATGTGGTATATTTATACGCTGGAATACAACTCAGCCATAAAAAATAATAAAATAATGCCATTTGCAACAACATGGATGGACCTGAAGACTGTCATTCTAAGTGAAGTAAGCCAGAAAGAGAAAGAAAAATACCATGTGATATCACTCACGTGTGGAATCTTACAAAAGAAGACACAAATGAACTTATTCACAAAGCAGAAACCGACTCACAGAGATAAAAAACAAACTTACAGTTACCAAGGGGGAAAAGGGAGGGGAAGGGACAAAGTGGGAGTTTGAGATGTGCGGATACTAACTGCTATATATAAAACAGATAAGTAACAAGTTTCCTCTGTATAGCCCAGGGAACTGTATTCCGTACGTCGTAGTATAATGAAATATACCACATAATGAAAGAGAAAATGAAAAGGAATGTATGTATGTGTGTATGTGAATGACTGAAGCGTGTTGCTGCACACCAGAAATTGACACAACATTGGAAACTGACTATACTTGAATTTAAAAAATAAATCAATAAAAATAAAGACAGGGAAATGGCAAAAAAAAAATCCTCTGATTATATATTAAGGTGTCATTGTAGAGAAATTGGAAAAACATAGAAGTAAAAAGTAGAAAAGAAAATCACTCAGAATACAGCACTGAAGACATTGCTGACACTTTAGTTTACCCTCTTCCACACTAATACTAGCATTCTTGCTGCCAGATTTTGGTGGTATAACAAATTCAAGTGGACTGTCTTGTAGATCTGATTCCTCTAACAGATCTCGTAGTCCCACTTACATATACACACACACACACACACACACACACACACATACACACACACACGTATATACCCGCACAGTTCCCTCTCCTACACAGCCACCTTCCCAAAGGTTATAGAGTTCAGGGACACTTTAATCTGGAGCTGATCTGTCAAGTGACTTCCCTCATGCCCCCTCCTCTTACTCAATCCCCCTCAATCTCATCACAACACCCATATCATAAGACCACTGTCTAAACACACTATCTTAGTTAGCTCAAAGCTTTGTAATGCTCTTATTTAAGAAAAAAGAAATGTTACCTGCATAGAGATACAGATTACCAGCTTTGTTTATTTACAACCCTAGAGTGGTAGAATAATCTGGAAGAAACATCATTTTTTACCTCATAGAAATAACATTGGTACTGGCTGTAAACATAACCCTTTGGTTCTGTTTCACTTGGCTTTATCTTGTGCATGGAAGAATCTACTTTCTCAGAACTAGATTCAACAGTAAATATCATGGGCTTAAAGGGGCAGAATTTGCATTCAGGGCAGGATAGTGAATTGTGTACGAATCAATCAGGCATGGTTCTTTGGCCTCACAGAAGTAACAGTCCAGTAGGGAAGAAAGTTTGCAATAAATTAAACAAATGAATATACATTTACACACTGGCATCAATGCTCTGAAGACAGTGGACACTGATGTGGAGACGGAGAACACAGCATTGTCTATCATAGTTATGGACGTGATGACCTATTTGAAAGAATGACAAGAGTTCAGGAAGTTTCGCTCTCATTTCATCAAAACTGACCAGAAGCTTCTGCTCAGAAGCATGCCACTGTGGTAACAGAGGCCAAGACAGAATGATCTGCACTAATAACTCCTACACTGGCTTTAACACACAAATTTTGAATGTCTTACTAAGGTAGAGTCATTACCTGGGGGTGGTTCTCCTTTTAACAACTATGAAAATCCTTCCAAAAACCACCACGGAGAAAAAGAAAAAAGTATCTTTAGGAAGCTTCTATTAGATTTTCTATTGTAAGAGGGAAAGGTCTCCTTTTAATGCTACTGTAGGCACCCTACCTATGAAGTTGGTCTCAGATATGCTAAAAGAAAAGCTGTGATTGTAAAACTCATGGCAGCATTTTGAATTAAGAAGGATGGAAACATGGAGAAGTGTCTGATCTTCGTTGAGCAGAAGCACTATACTGAATGCCTTTTGTACATACAAAAGTAGGCCAGAGGTGTCGTTGGGATAAGGCAGAGAGCCAGTTTGGCCTCCATGGAAGATTAAAAGAATTTGGGAAGAGTGAGTAGGCACTGGAACAGATCTGAGAGAGAACAATTAGAGAGGAGAAAAACAGAGAGAGAAACCCAGACTAACAGAGTGAGGGTTGGGGATTACAGAGACGAAAGAGAAAGACATAGACAGATATAAAGAGAAAGCTGGAATCAAAAAGAAAAAAAAAGACAAATGAACTTATATATAAAACAGAAACAGACTCACAGACATAGAATACAGACTTGTGGATGCCAGAGGGGAGTGGGGTAGAAAGGATAAACTGGGAGTTCGAGATTTGCAGATAGTGACTGGTATATTGGATAAACAAGTTTATACTGTATAGCATGGGGAAATATATTCAGTGTCTTATAGTAGCTCACAGGGTAAAGAATAAGAACATGAATATATGTATTTTCATGTATGAGTGAGGAATTGTGCTGTACACCTGAAACTGACACAACATTGTAAACTGACTACAGCTCAATAAAAAAGAAAGCAAGGGGACAGACCTACAGACACACAGGCAGAGGGAGTGGGAGTGGTAGGGAAACCCTGGGACATGGCAAAATTGATGCTAACAATGTAGGCACACAGCCAATGAGAATTTTGCTATGGCTAAACTGTCTATTGCATCTAGAGATATTAACTAACAGTGAATTCAATGTTCTTTCTCATTGTCTGCTGTAATTTCTCTCTGTGAATCTTTAGTAAAATCTGCTAGCAAATACTCCCTTTAGCACTGAGAGTATTTTGCAGAAATGAAGGAAGAGTAGAGGTACCAGCTACCAGCCTGGCGCAAGCAAGCTGGTGAGAGGGGATGATATAGGATCCAAGACAGTAGGGGACAATGAATGGAAGAAGTGGGCTTCCCCAGGGGCTGACTCAGGAGGTGAGTAACCGGCCATTTTGAAAAATTATTGTTGCCCCTCAATGTCCCAAGGGATTAGTTCCAGGATCCTGCAGTCCAAAATCTGTGGATGCTCAAGTTCCAACTATAAAATGGGACAGTATTTGCATACAACATAGGCACATCCTCCTGTATACAGGCATACCTTGGAGAGGTAGTCAGCTCCAGATATTCAGACCTTGGTGCGTTCAGTTTCAGACTACTGCAACAGAGCAAAGATTGCAACAAAGTGAGTCACATGAATTTTCTGGTTTCCCTAAAACTTTTTGGGAGGGAGAAGAGGACAGAAGGGAGGTGAAGTGCACAGTGTAAGAAGAGAGGGAGGGAGGGAGGGAAACAGAGATGGGGAGAGAGAAAGAGGAGAAGTCCAGAGATCTGTCGAACATCTCTCTCATGTATTCAGCTGAGTACTATTCAGTTCAGGCACGTGAGGAAACTGCTTGAGGCTAAGAG